GTATAGATAATGGATAGTGTATATTGCCAGTATGTCAGTGTAATCGTGCATTCCATTTGCCCTCGGAACTCGGATTCCGAGTTGGATTCCGAGTTTTGAAGCCGGAAGTGATGATATGCACGCTCCCGTCTCTCGGAGATCCGAGAAATATCTCGGACAGCACAGAGGATCCCGAGTTCAGAATCCAAAATGGCTGCACCCTTTATCAACAGAAGGGAAAGTTGTCGTTAAATCCTATTTAAGCACTACTTCTCATTTGTGGCTCATTAAATTGTTTGCACACACTATACATTGTAAAAAAAAAAACGTTAAAAAACGTTAATTTTCTGGCAGCAGGGGCGCCAGAAAATGTCTGTTAAAAAATGGAAAAATACTGTCAGGAAAAAAAAACAGCAAAAAACAGTTAAAAAATGGTCATTTCTTATCCTATAATTACGGTTTATTACTGTTATTCTACTGTTATATCCTTATAAAACCAAGAAATCTTTTAATTTTAACATTAATTGTTAAAATACAGTCATACGCCTCTAAAACAGAAAATCATCTTTAAATAAAGATTTAAGTACAGATAACATATATTATAATAATAACATTATATTACATATATTACATAATATATAACATTATTTATTACTGTTATTCTACACAAAAACATGGTAAATGGACTGCATTTATATAGCACTTTTCTACTCCTATGAGTACTCAAAGTGCTTTACAATTTATGCCTCACATTCACACACACATTCATACACCAGTGGTGGAGGCTGCCATACAATCCTTTGAAACTCTCATCTATCCACTGGGAGGTTAGGCTAATTAGCGACACGGGGCTAACACTGCTTGTCCAAATATCCGTGGTGAAACTAAACGCAGAGGAGGCTTGCAGTAGGCTGTGGATATGTTTTTTCACAGGGTCTTGTAGTTTAGGCAGCTCCGTGTCAGTCATGTAGCGGTGGCTTGGGACATCATATCTGGGCTCTAGAACATGGAGGAGACGCAGGAATCCCACATTTTCTACCTCCGAGAGTGGCTGGTCACTCAATGCAATGTACTCGATAATTGCCTGTGTTATTTTCACAGCACGTGGATTGTCTCTGGACATTTTCTCTCGTCTTGCAAGAGTTTGCTGCAGCGTGGGTTGTGTTGGTTTAGAAGCGTGGGTAAACTCTTTGTACTCGTTGTCGTGTTGGGATTTTAGGTGCTTGATTAAATTACTTGTGTTAAATGCGCTACCTTTTGAGCCTCCTCTGGACAATTTTGCTGAGCACAATTTGCAGTCCGCCTTTGTTTTGTCGTCTTCATTTACTTTGAAATAGCTCCACACGGCTGACATGTCTCGCCTCGCCTTCTCCCCGCTCTGAGCTGCAGCCGGGGCCTGGGGGCGGGCACTCGGCGCCTGTGATTAACCCCTTACACGCCACTCAAAAATAGACATTTCTCAGACCGTGGTATCGGTCCCCGGTATCGGGGGACTTTTAACGAGTACGAGTACTTTAGAAAATGTGGTATCGAGGCCGATACCAGATATCGGTATCGGTGCATCCCTACCTAAAATCAACTATAATTTCTTTAGTTTTCTTTGTGTTGAGGATGAGGTTATTTTCCCTGCACCAAGCTGTCAAATTTCGAACCTCTACCCTATACGCATTTTTGTTATTGTTTTCTATGAGTCCCACAATGGTTGTATCATCAAATTTAATAAGAATGTTGGGACTGTGAGAGGAAATACAGTCGTAGGTGAAGAACGAGTAGAGGGCGGGGCTGAGGACGCAGCCCTGGGGCACACCAGTGCTGAGGACCGCGGTAGAGGAGATGTGGCACCCAATCCTGACATGCTGGGGTCTATTAGTGAGAAAGTCTTTGATCTACCAACAAAGAGGAATTCATAGACCAAGTGTTTGCAATTTCTCGATCAGTTTGTTAGGGATGATGGAGTTAAAAGCAGAACTGTAATCAACAAACAACATCCTAACATAACTGTTGGGGGATTCCAGGTGTGTAAGCATTGCATGCAATGCAATGGAAATAGCATCATCTGTGGATCTGTTGGTCCTATATGCAAACTGATGTTGATCTAGATCAGGAAGGATGCAGGCTTTAATGTAAGGCAATACCAGTCTCTCAAAGCATTTCATGACTACTGGTGTGACAGCAACAGGCCGGTAATCATTCAAGCTTGTGATAGCTGAGGTTTTAGGTATGGGGATGATTGTAGCAGTTTTTAAACACACGGGAACTGTGGCTGGCAGTAGTGACATGTTAAAATTTTTTGTAAAAAATGTACTGAGCTGTTTCTGCACAGGCCTTCGGCACTCATCCTGAAACACCATCTGGCCCTGTTGATTTTTTACAGTTTATTTTTTGAAATGCCCTTTTTACCTGGTAGGTATGGAAAGTCAGTGGCTGGTCGCTCTCTAGGGGAGTGGTGTTGCTGTCTGGATCTGGTCCTCTGTTTAAATTTGATAATGTGGTTATAGCTGAAGGGCAGTGCAGTCATGTGTCAACAGGGTGAGGAGCAGGGGATAGAATGCAGACCTGGGGCGCTCCAGTGCTCAGCTCAATCCTTTCATAAGGCACAATGAGGACAGCAAATATTTCTTACATCTGTCTTCTTTGCCTGCTTATTTTATGCAAGCTCACAGAGGTCTGGAGCCTATCCAGCAAACTATGGCCACAAAGCAGGGAATAGCCCAGGACAGGGTGCCAGCCAATCGCAGGGCACGCACACTCACCAATCACACCTACGGAGAACTCAGCAACTCCTAATCACCTTAGCATGTGGGGGGAAACCAGAGAACCCCACAATGGCACAAGGAGAACATGCAAACTGACACATACAGCTGGAGTGGCGACTCAAGCTCTGGTCTCAGACATATATAGAAGGCAACAGTGCTACCCACAACAGTGCTAAGGATATCATGGAAAATACGTTTCAGCACCAAATATCCTATGGGTAATGGCAATAAGAGTATTATGAGGGCGGCACAATGGCACTACAGTCTCACACTTCTAGAGCTGGGGGTTTGAACCTTGCCTCCTCCTCTGTGTGCATGGAGAGTACGTGTTCTTGACATGTCATATGGGTTTTTAATGGGTTCAAACTACATATCAAACTTGGGATTCAATCCTTTCATAATGCACAATGAGGGTAACAAAGAGCCTGAAAGTAAACATAACAGATATAGAGAAAATACCAATGCAGAACATTATCTTTCCTCACAAGCGAGAGCATTACATAAGGACATTTGGATACTCAAGTCTTACACCATTAAATGAAGAGTTAGACAATAGCATTACCTTCAAGGTGAGGCTGGTGTCCTGGTGTCCTGCTTTAGCTCGGCCTGTTATGTTTCCACGGAAGATAGAGTTCATGGAGTTGAAGAAGCTCGATTTTCCAGCACCAACTGCACCAATTAGAAGAATCTGAGCCTGAGGCACTGAACGAATAGTTGGCTTGTACTCTCTCAGGGATTGCATGAGTTTGGTTTTGTTGCTAAAGGAATGGAAATTTTAAATGAGAATTAGTCAAAATTAATTAGGAATACAAATAATCCTATTTCTAATCAAATATAGACAATTAACAATTAGGGCATAAGCAGACAGATTTAATATAAGGCAAAAGATACACAACAGAGATGTATAAATGCAAGGTAGGTGATAAATACAGTGATCAGCTGGTGAGCTAACCTGCAGGGCCGCACACTGGCCAGTGTTTATATGTGTGCTTGTGTGGGGGGAGGAGGTTATAGAACTCATGCATATTTTAAGAATATGTGCATAAAATTACATAATGCTAGTAAAAAATAAACAAAACAAGTTGTTGATAATATTCGATAAAAACAGGCTTCACACCTATGGTCCCACGCAACATTCCTCCATGGGTTACCAAGGAGCTCTGGTTTTTTCTCCTCTGGGGTCACTGGGGTCACTGGGGTCACTGGGGTACTTTTTTTACCTCCCATTTTCCAAATGCCAAGTCCAGACCTGTTGAATGAAAGCATTGTGTTTTCATTATCAGTCCACCAGTCCCTGGAGATATCGGTGTTAAGGGCCTTGTTCAAGGGCCCAACAGGAAAAATACTGGGCGGATCAAAGGATCTGAACCAGCAACATGCTGATTATGGACACAGAGTCCTAACCAACTGAGCCACACACTGCCCCATTACCTGTTTGCATGAAACTTTTTAACAATATGCTTTATACATTTTCAATATGACTTATACTACAGGTGGCTGTGAAGTAAAATGTTTGTTAAATGGATTTTTAAAGTGCTTGAAGTAGGAAAAAACAGGTGCCAATACTCGCCTTGTTATCTTTTACTAATACTAGCAAATCATGAGAGTTGCCAACATGCTAAAAATGTTGCCGGTTCTCTGAAAAGAAAGACAAAGAGGTGCCAGTACAGCCTCTCTCTGAGCAGCCAACTTCAAGCACTGGATTTGTACTTATACCTATTAAACCCAGTACATTCAGGGCTGGTCCTCACCCATGTGGCGACCTGGGCAGGCATTACCGGCAGCGCCCCCCCTCTCCACCACCAACTCCAAAATAAATGCATAAACAGTAAGAGTGAAGAAATAAAGACGCTGGTGACTAAACAGTGCGTAAACCAATCCAGAGCCTTTGTTATTTTGAAGGCAAATTTGAACGTCAAATTGAACAATAAATTCACTTACATTTATAAATATAATATAAATGTATTCATTTTAATATAAAAATACAGAACACTTGACAAATTCACAGAGCACAATGCATCCATCTGCTTTCAAGTGTATCCCATACAACACCAGAAGCATCATTAAATTTGATGTTTCCCTCCACTTTCCACGCAATGGTTTTTAAACACGGAATCCTTTCAAATGAAATATAGCCACGCTTTAGACTGTTTAACTTTAGGGTTTTAACTGGGTTTGAGGTAGCTAACGGTAGCATCTGCTGACATCAGAGCAAGTTTCATATTAACTAGTGATGGCATGTGAGGTGCAGTGATGCTTTTGTTGTCTGAGCAAAACTGGGCAAATATTTCAATCAACAGCTCAGGCATTCAAGTGACACCAAAATCTGCATTGCATTACGATCCAGTACATACTGATTGGTACCCATCCCTATTGTTCATTGTTTAATATTGATTAAATTTGTGTGGCTAATGCAATAAGTAATTATTAGGGCTGGGCGATATCATATCGATTTTATATCGCGCATACGCAATAATCACTAGGGCTTCAGATGACAGGCGCAACATTTGGCAGTGCGCCAGCTTTTCTGTGCTATACTGACATTTATTTACGCCCACAATTTAAACAGCTTAGTATTATTAATGAGGCTTTGTATCAGAGCATGTGAGCGCAGTGGAGCTCACGAGGCTGTTGGCTCCGCCCGCTTCTCCGCTCTAATTTGCACTAAGCCGCTCCGCTCAACACCGTTCCTCACTCCACTAAAATTTCCTCCCGCTGCAGTCAAATCGCTCCAATTTAAAAGAGGGACAAATAATCTGCAAATAATCTGCATGCCTAACAAATGTCACCTTAAACCGAAGCCTTATATCATAAAGAAATATGAGCAATGGCAACATTGCCACTCAGAAAATATTTATTTTTAAGCA